GCCCGGGAGCCCCCTGCCCTTCCTGCTAAGCCACTCCAAACATCTCCAGGCGTGTGGTGTGGGCCTCGCTATCCGACATCTGGCACGGAGACCACCCACAAGCGCCACTCGCGCTTCCCTCTGCCGCACGCTCAGATGGCCAGCCCTGCCGTGTGCTGGAGGGCCTCCGGGGAAGCTGCCATCTGGAGTAGGGGGTGGGTGCATCTCCAGACCCCTTCCTAGGGCCCCATTCTGCAGCTGACTCAGAACTGGCCTCCATTCCTGCAGCCACCGCCACAGTATTGCTGGCTCCATAGATGTCCCACCCTGGACAGCGCCTCCACTGTCCCCTGCCTCCCGCCCAGGCTCCTGCCACCCAGCCTGAGGCCAGCAGCCGGGACAGAGCAAACGCGGTGACCCACAGGCCAACTCGCACTCTTGCCCCATTGCTGGATCGCCTCCCAGAGCCCGTTCCTCCAGGAAGCTCTCAGGGAATGCTCACCTGGGCTGGCTTGTCTCCTCCCCAGCTCGCCCTCCGTGGAGGACGGAGTCTGCAGGCCGACTGCGGGTCCCGGGCTGCAGGCAGAGACGCAGGGGGTCCTTCCCGCGGTGTCTTCCGGTGGTGGCAGTGGTGGCAGCAGCTCTCTGGCTTCCTGCGGTGTAAACAGGAAGTGAGACTGTGTCAAAACGGTAGCCCCGGCCGTGAGAAGGCAGGCGAGGCGCGCTGAGCTGGAGGGCTGATGCAGAGCTGCTCTGAGGGCAGGCCAGCAGCAGCCGGGAGAGCGTTCTGGTCCCTTCCAACCCTGCGCGGTCGCCACGGCGCGGATGCTGCCTGGAGACCCAGCGATGCCTCGACCCCAGCGACCTGGGGTCCAGGCAGTGTGTGCTGTACACGCTATGCGTAGGAGACCCCGGCTCTGGGACAGGAATGAGCGGCCTGGGGGTGTGGCGGGGCTGGCACTTCATTCAAACCGCATCCTTGCCAGCTACCCACCCCGGGCGCACGGCCCTCTCTCACGAAGTCACTTTCCCCACTGAGCCCTGGCGCGGTCTCAGAGCCCTTCCTGAAGCAGCAGTTTCCGTCTGTGAGACAGGGACGCCCCCAGGGCCTCCACGCCGCAGTCCGTCCCAGCCTCATCCAGCTGGGAGCACAGGTACGGGCACGCCCCTGGCACACCCGGGGAGACCTCGGGATGCAAAGCAGGACCTCCCTGCGCGGCCTCGGCACCGGAGCAGGACACGGGCCGCTGCCTGCTGTGCCTTCCAGCCAGCGTGCCTGGTGTCACAGCCTCCTCCGGGGGTTAACTAACCCCTGAAATAAATCTGACACCACTTCTCCGGCTGCTGTTTGCTGGCCCAGTGTGTGGTGGCTGAGGGAGGGACGGGGAGAGGAGGAAAGGGACAAAGATGGGGTTTAGCAGGAGGAGGAAGAAACAGTCCTTTTCGTTGGTCATGGCTCTGGTTGGTTGGTTTTATTTTAAGAGAGATTGTTGCTACAGGGCACATGCATTCGCCAGAGAGAGGGAAAGACAGAAAATGAAAAATCAGCCCCCGGCGGGATGGCCGTGATGCAGTTCATTCTCCTCCAGTTCCCTCTCGGGATTTTGGTCACACACACGCGCACACCCAGAGTGAGCTTTAAGCTGCCGGGTCCGGGACTCGAACCGCGGTCGACTACATGGGAGTCCAGGGATGCAGCCATTGCACCATTTGCTGGTCTCATGGTTTTGTTTTTAACGCAGGTCACAGTTGATGCGGATTTTCCTTTTTTTTTTTTTTCACTTGTCAGAGGGAGCATGCGCTTGCTAGAGAGAGACAGAGAGACAGAGGGAGAAAGCATCTCCCCAATGGGGCACGGTCGCACCGCAATCCTTTCTCCTCCGTCTCCCATCCCGTCGGGATCTGGGGCACACACGCACATGTGCCTGGTGCGTCTCTCAGGGGCCGGGACTCAAGTTGTTCTGGGCCACGTCGGTTGAGCTCCCCTCATGACGAGACCACAGGGCTGGCCTCTAATTTTCTAGAAGGGAAGGAACCAATCTCGTGCTGAGGAACTGAAAGTCGTTTTGTTTGTGGAAACGAAATCCCCTTGAGTTACAGTAGAGGGGGAAAGGTTGGGGGCTCTCCATCATGACATGAGAAGAGTCTCAGGACCCAGGGGAGAAAAGAAGGTGGGGGTAGAGGAGGGAGGAAAAAAAAGGAGGAAGAGGAGCAGGAAGAGAAGGGGGAAGGAAGGGGAAGAGAGAAGGAGGAGTTGGGGAGGAAGAGGAGGAGGTGGCAGAGGAGCAATGAGAGGGAGGGAGGGAGGGAGAAAGGGGGTCCCACCCTGTGGCCAAGGAGAAACAGGTCCAGGGAGAAATTCTGCCGGGGGGGGTCAGGGAATTGTAAGAGTGACATCTGGCAGGTTGCTTCCTGCTTTCTGTCGAGCTCCCATTCATTCTGTCACCCCACAACATCCGGCCCTAGTAAATGTTGTTGCTCATGCACTGTGGGCAAGCTGTAGGGTCTGTAGGCCACACAGAAGGTTGGAGAAGGGCCTGGGGGCCATGTAGAAGGTTGGAGAAAGGTCCAAGGGTCATGTGGAAGGTGGTAGAAGGGTCTGGGGGCCACATGGAAGATTATAGAAGGGCCTACAGGCTACGTGGAAGGTTGTAGAAAGAGCTAGAGCAACATGGAAGGTTGTAGAAGGGTCTGGGACCATGTGGAAAGTTATAGTAAGGTCTGGGACCGTGTGGAAGGTTATAGAAGGATCTGGAGCCACGTGGAAGGATGTAGAAGGGTCTGGAGCCACGTGGAAGGTTGTAGAAGGGTCTGGAACCACGTGGAAGGTTGTAGAAGGGTCTGGAACCACGTGGAAGGTTGTAGAAGGGTCTGTGGGCCACACGGGGCCAAGCAGAAGACAGGCAAGAGCGGCTGCAGGATGGCCTTGCTGCCGGTGGGAGACCAGAGATGAGGTAAGGGTCTCTGGGAAAGCACCCCCTTGCCTGAGGAAACCCCACTTCCTCCTCCACTGCCTCCTTAGCATACTCCATGCCCGGATCTGGCTCCCTGCTCCACCACCACACTCCCCGTCCCTTTCCAGGAGGAAGGCAAAGGCCTGTCCTCTCGGCTGCCATTCCTCAATCGCCCTCGGGATTCCCAGGCCTCGGACCCAAAGGAAAATGAAATATTCACTCCACGGGGGAGCTGGGGGGACAGATCCACGCAGACAAGTCCACCTCGGGGTGCGAACCAGCCCCTTCCTGCCGGCTCTCTGCAAAACTGCACTTCCTGTTGAGGAAGCCGCCGCCCGGCCTCGCTTTCCCTCCTACTCCACACCTTCCTCCCCCGCCTCTCCATCCCTGCACAGGGTCTCCAGCCCTCCCGAAGCTGGTCAGCTCTCATTACGGATGGCTCTGGGGGATTTCCAGAGGCCCCCCCTGCCCCGGGAGGGCAGAAAGACAGTGGAGCCCAGTGCTGAGCGACCCGCCAGCAGCGTGACCTTGAGTGAGCTTCTGGGGCTGCCTTTGTGTCATAGGAACCCCACCCTCAGGTTGAGGATTGTTTGAGACAATGAAGGAAAGATATTTAGCCACGGGCATAAGAACCGTTCAAGGGGGACCAGCCGAAGGTGTAATGGTTATGTCACTGGACTCCCCCACGGCCGACCGCAGTTTGAGTCCCAGCCCCAGTGGCTTAAACTCACGCCAGGCACATGTGCGTGTGTGCCCCAAATCCCAAGACTGGAGGAGAAGGGACTGTAGTGTGGCCATCCCCTCTGCGGGGTGATTTCTCACCATCCCCCCGTCTTTCTCTCTCCAGCAAGCACATGTGCCCTGTAGCAAAAAAATAATCTCTCAAAAAATAAAACACAGCTCGAGAGAGAGCAGTGCCTATCTGTTGATCTGTCTGCCTTACGGAGGTGAGACAGGGCTGCTGGGGAGGGAGCGTTTCAAGGCCCCCCATGGAGGAATGCTCATAGCCATGGAAAACTGGAACCTGAAGTTTGGTTGGGTACTCGCTGAAGTAGTTCCACCTAATGGTTCCAGTTAAACTCAGTCCTTGTAAGAGCTTCAAATGCAGGACCAGCAGATAGTCTAATGGCTATGTCGCTGGACTCCACGTACTTGACAGCGGTTTGAGTCCTGGACCCGGTGGCTTGAAACTCACACCAGGCGTGTAAGGAGAAGGGATTGTGGCATGGCCATCCCCGAGGAGTGATTTCTCACTTTCTGTCTCTGTTTCTCCGGTGAGCTCACGCATCCTATAGCAAAATTCTCTCTCCATTTTATTTATTTATTTTTAAAAAAGCCTCAAATGTAGCCCTAGTTCCAGATAGGGAAACTGAGGCTCAGAGAGGCTGGGTATCCCACAAGACTCCACACCCAAGGAAGGGAGAAGGCAAAGCTAAGTGGGGGAGAAAAGGAGCGAATTTCTTACATGCAGGTCAGTCTACCCACTTCCCAAAGAGGGTACTGCCAGCCAGGGGTGTGGTGACATGGTGGCTTGAAAAAACATGCCAGGCACATGTGTGTGCATGCCCCAAATCCCCAAAGGAGGGAGAAATGGGGAGGGATCGTGGGATGACCATGCTCCACGGGAAGTACTTTTTCTTGTTAAGGACTTTTGCTATAGTGTGCGGACGCTCACCAGAAAGAGAGAGACGGTGAGAGGGAACGTGAGAAGTCACCCCCACGGGGAATGGCCATACCACAGTCTCTTCCCTTCCATCCCCCCTGAATTTTGGGCCCGCATGCATGTGCACCTGGCATGTTTCAAGCCACCAGGTCGAGGACTTGAACCGCAGTGGGCCATGTGGGAGTGCAGTGCTATAGCCACTACGCCACCTGCTGCTGACCCTGGGAGCTACTTTCTTATTTACTTTCTCTCTCTCTCTTCCCATACATGTGTCCCCTGGCAGATTTTAAGGAAGGAAGGGAGGGTAACTAGTCCTTGTCTGCTTTTTTTTTTTTTTTTTGGAGAGGTTTTTGCTATCGGGCACATGCACTCGCCAGGAAGAGAGAGAGACAGAGACAGACAGAAAGTGAGAAATCACTCCCCCCGGGGGGATGGCCACACCGCAATCCCTTCTCCTCCATTTTCCTTTCGGGATCTTGGGCACACACGCACATGCGCCCGGCGTGAGTTTAAGCCACTGGGTCCAGGACTTGAACCGCGGTCGACTACGTGGGAGTCCAGCGACATAGCCATTATGCTAACTGCTGGTCCCTGTCTGCTCTTAGTTATTCAGGCAACAATTCTCCCCATGTGCAGAGACCTCCCCGGCCCCCTCAGGGCACGGCCCTCCGGGGCCCTGGTGCGTTCACTCATGTCAGAGTGAAAAACCGGCCCAGGAAAGGAACCTGAGGCTCTGCCGTGTTATGGAGAAAGCCAGGGAGCAAGAGCGGGACTTCCAACCCCGTCTTCCCACGGCCTGTGCTACGCTGCAGCCCTAGCGTCAGTGTCCCTGGGGGAGCAGAAGTTTCTGTTGACCCCAGCAGCCCTGCTAACTCCAAGGACAACGCTGTGCTGCGTGGGAAGACACAGCCATCGGGCATGTCCCCTTACCTGGCTGCAGGTGGCCAAGGTGTGCCCAGAAGGGCATGTGGTGTTCTCTCTCTCTTCCAGATTCTTCTGAGGGTCACTGTCACTCTTAAAGTACTTTCTGGGCGGAGGCTTGGGCTTGGAGGATGTGGGCTTTCTCACCAGGATCTCGAAGGATTTCTTCAGTCTCAGTGGCGGGTGGCTGTCCTTGTTCTCCAGGGCGGACGGGCTCTCCTGGGCAGGCCTGGCTGAGGCCTCTGGAGGCACCCCTGGCTCCTGCCCCAGGGTCAGGCTTGGACCACACATGCCGACTTCTAAGTCGCAGGGCTGCCGCTCAGCGCTGCCGCTGCTGGGGCTACCCCCCGGGGACCCTGACATGTAGCTGCTGTCGCTGCTGGAGCGGACCATGACCTTCTGAGCCCTGCGGTGCGGGGGTGCTGAGGTCTTCTCTCGCTCCTTCTCCAAGGTGGGCCGCCCATGCCAGCTGTTCTCTAGCCTCTTGACGCCTGCGTGGGAAGCAAACGGACCCTCCGTGACTGGGCCTCAGAAGACAACACACCCCGGCCTCGCGCACACCTGCTGCCCGCCTCTTGCTGAGGCCGCCCCGGGGGTAGAGCACTGTGGTTTGGATCCTGGTGAGCTTCGGGATGCGAGAGTCACTTCCTGCCCGAGCCTCCGAGTGACAGCGTGGAGATGTGCCACTCAGTCCCCCCACCAGACAGCACTGGGGTCCCTGCCGTGCAAGCCCTGGTGGCAGACGGCTGCAGAGGGCTGCCTCGCCCAAGGGTCCAGGGTACAGCCCATCCACAAGGACTAACAGAGGTGGGTGACAAGGGCCCAGCCGCTTCTCCAGCTCGGGCCTGCTCTGATGGGCCCTGTTAGCTCAGAGCCAACAGAGCTGGACCGGCTCAGGTTCCCAGGTGTGCATCTCGGCGTGACTCCTCCCTCGACCTGGCCCTCCTCCCGCCTCCCCTCCCACGGACCTCAGCCCACTTCCGGACACGTTCTGCAAGTCCAGCCCCATCTCTGAGCCGGTGTCCCTGAGAACCCGACTGTGACACTCCCTCTCTGCATCCGTGAAATGGGGAGGGTAATTCCGAGGTTGCTAGGCTTGTTCAGGGTCCCAGTACCAAAGAGAGAGAGCATGACTTTGGACCTTGTACCCAGAGGTCACCCCCTCTTCCCGGTGAGGACGAGGTGAGGACAGAAAACACCACCTCTGGCTATGGCCCCCACTCCTCTTTCTGCCCCGCTCCCTCCAGCCCCTACAGGGCTGTGCCTGCCTGGCTCTCGCTCCAACTACCCCCCATAGTTTTCAGCATCAGGGCCATCCACATATCCTTGGGGGCTCTCTTCTCTCTAGGGGGATGCTACCAAAGTGTTCCTTTGCTGGAATCCCAGCTAAGGAGGTGACACTGATTGAAGCTTGCTCAGATTCCGGCTCATTCTGTGAGGCCAGAGGCATCTCCAGGAGCACACGCCGGACCATGGTCCAGAACCAAGGCCAGCACCGAGCCTTCCAACCCTCTCTAAAGAAAAGGTGTTCTTTTCTCTCTGCTCTTAAGATGGTGCACCGTCGTTACAGAGAACTCCACCGCAGAGAAGAAGGGGTGGAAGTAAAAATCCACCTGTGGTCCTATCGGCCAGGGAGGGCCACCGTCAACATCTGGGTGGTTTCAGGCCGACATTCCCGTGCAGCTATGCATTCTGGGTAGGGGGACATGGCAACATGGCTGCAATAAAACTGCGAGTCGCCCCGTCCCCTTTGAGTCTCCTCCCGGACCGTCTCTGCCCCTTGTCAGTATCCGTGCTGATGGCTGTCTATCTTCCTGCTTTACGGATGTTCCACAAAGACTTGACTAGGCATGGTTTGGCCTGGCAGGCAGGCCAGCTGGGTTCCTGTCCCGGATCCTCCGAGCATGAAGAATATGCCTTTGTGGGGCCAGCAGGTGGCATGGTGGCTAAGGCACTGCACTCCCACATGGTCGGTGGCAGATCGGACCCAGTGGCTTGAAGCTCATGATGAGCACAAACGCCAGAGCGGAAAGTAAAGGAGAAGGGAGCGCGGCATGGCCATCCCCCATGGGAGTGAGGTCTCACTTCCCATCTCTCTCTCTCTCTCTCTCTCTCTCTCTCACAGGTGAGTGCATGTGCCCTACGGCAAAAACCTTCCAAAGAAAAAGTGTGGCTTTGGGTAAGGGAACCTCCCGAGCTCCACTTTTTCACTGATTTAATACACTCTGCATAAAAATTGGATGTGGAGGTTCAGCGAGTGATGCATGGAGCAGAACTAGACAAATGTGAGACATGATTCAATACGATTCCTTCTCAAGACTCTGTTAGCATAGACCACGGGGCAAACTCAAATGCCCACAGAGGCAATGACGTGAATGGCAACCCGGTGTAAGTTTTGGGTTTTTAAAATTACTTATTTAATTGTATTTGTTATTATTTTTTAGTTTTCTACAAGGCTTGCACACTCATCAAAGAGAGCAAGAAACATGGAGAGGGAGGGAGAAAGGGAGAAAGACACCAGGTCCAGGACTTGAACCAAGGTCAGCCATGTGGGAGTCCAGTACCTCAACCAGCATGCCACCTGCTGGTTCCACCTGGCGTGAGATGTTTAAAAATGAGGAGGACCATGGGACCATCAGGTGGCATGGTGGCTAAGGCACTGGACACTCCTATGTGGCCAACCATGGTTTAAGTCCTGGACCTGGTGTCTCTTTCGCTCTCTCTCTCTCTCCAGTCAAATGAAAATAAATGAATTTAAAAATTAAATAAATTATTGTTTAAAAAAAAAAATGGTGAGGACCTTAGAGAGTGAGAGAGTGCCTGCCCCATTCAGGGCAATTCAGGTTCAAATGCTTTCTTTTCTGGAGAGGTTCTTGCTATAGGGCACGTGCACTCGCCAGACAGACAGAGACAGACAGAGAGACAGAAAGCAAGAAATCACCCCCCGGGTGGATGGCCACACCACAATCCCTTCTCTGCCATTCTCCTCTTAGGAGCTCAGGCAGGCACACACACGTGCCTGGCTTGAGTTTAAGCCATCGGGTCCAGGACTCAAACCATAGTCGACTACATGGGAGTCCAGCGACATAGCCATTGCGCTAACTGCTGGTCCCTCGAATGCTTTTAAAATCAGGTGCCTTCCAAACAAATCAAACATGGCCGCCCAATGCAGCTGGCAGGCTGCTGGCGTTTAGCCTTTGCCTGGGTCCCACGCCTGCCTCTGACTGTCACTAGGATTCCTCAGGGGAAGGTGAGTTAACGCCTAACCCCCTAAGCTTTCTAGAAGGCGAGAGTATTTCACGTCAAAGTTCACGTTTCTCTTACCGTCCAGACTCCACTGATGTCTCTCCTTTCCAAACTTGACGTTCTCCACAGCCTGGGCCACCGCGTCCTTGAGTTGCTGTTCGGAGACCTGGAAAATGCCAGTCACCTCCTCAAACGACAGGGACTCCTGCGTCAGGCTCCTGCACCAGCTACCGAGCCGGATTCCCGCAGTCTAGCTTTTTGTTTGTTTTTCTAACCCACTCTGCAAATACAGGATAAATTTCACTTGCAGAAATAACCCAGGTATGACTGGTTCTCTAGTAACTTCTAGACAACACCCCAAATCTAACAACAAAGCGGTTCCCGAACTGGCCGGCCTCAACTCTCCAACCTTCTTTCTCACTACTCGCTGTAAAATTTGGGCGACGTTCCCACTCCATGGTTTTCTCCGGGAGCTCTTCCTTTGTGGGCATTTTTGTCATGATACCAACATCACTGACAGTGTCACAACCATAAGCACCGCCATGATAGTGTCTGTGTTGTGCCTCACAGGTCATGCATCGCTTTAGAGCAACGGGGAAGAGCATGAGTGTTGGAGTCAAATAGCTTTGTGTTCAAGTCCCGGCTCCGCTGTTCTCTAGTTACTGACGCTTCAACAATTTACTCAACCTTCGACGTCTCAATTTCTAAACATTGTCAGAAGAGAATCTACACTGAGGAAAAAGGATGTTTCGAAATCATTTGACACCAAAAGCATTGGGAGAAAAGGAAAACATAAATAAATAAATGAGACCATGTCAAAAGTCAAACCTTCTGTGTACAAAGAACACAATCAACAGTGTGAAAAGATAAAAGTTAAATGTGAAGGGACAGTGGCTGGCGTGGTGGTTAAGACACTGGACTCCCACATGGCCGACCATGGTTTGAGTCCCAGACCTGGTGGCTTGCTTTCTCACTTCTCTCTCTCTCTCTCGGTTTCTCTCTGGTCAAATTGAAATAAATGAGTGAATAGATAAAAAAATTAAATCTTTTTTTTTTTTTGGAGAGGTTTTTGCTATAGGGCGCGTGCGCTCGCCAGAAAGAGAGAGACAGAGAGACAGAAAGTGAGAAATCACCCCCCAGGGGGGATGGTCACACCGCAATCCCTTCTCCTCCATTCTCCTCTCGGGATCTTGGGCACGCACATGTGTCCGGTGTGAGTTTAAGCCACCGGGTCCAGGATGCGAACTGCGGTCGACTACGTGGGAGTCCAGCGATGTAGACATTATGCTAACTGCTGGTTCAAATAAATAATTCTTTAAAAATAAAAAAACATAGATGTGATACTCCCTGACCTATCCTGTCTCAGGTGAGGGCATTCTCTTCCTCCCAAGCCAACCCCCCATCGTACTGTGTGCTGGGGCTGCTCAGTCTTCCAACCCGGAAATACTGGCGTCCGCTCCCCTAGCACAGAGCTAGCCCGCCAAGGGACACTGGCCACTCTTCCCACGTGGCTCCTCCTCCTGCTGTTTGGCTCGGACCCTCACCAGGTTTCCTTCTGCTTACGAAGGCCACGCTCCACCCACTCTATCCTGTGCTCCACGCGCAAGCAGAAGTTTAAAACGGAAAATGTGAATATGCTACATTTACAGTGGAGACCTCTCCAGTTCTTGCTACACACAAAGTAAAATGCGAATTCTTTAGCCTCCTGTTCAAGCCCTCCACAGTGCGACCCCACTGCCTTGCCAGCCTCTGTTCTCGGTCATCCTCACCTAATTGTCCATATCCTAGCCCCGAAGGATGTACCACTCTCCTTCCACGACACGTGGCTTCGTGATTCAGGAACTGTGAGCTCCATGTTCTGTCTGGAATGAACTTCTTCAAACTCTGACTTGGGGAAAATGCGCATCTGGTGTGTCTGGCCTTCTGAACCCTCCCCTGCAGTGTTCTGCATGCCCAGGGAACCTGCCTCTCCGGGCTGCAGCCACTTCTATCCCAGCGTCCTGTTGAGACCATGAGGTTCTGCAGGGCAGGGCGGCGTCCCGTGAACTCACCTGCCTCTTCTCCCAGCGGCACCCACCAGAGGCATGGGCGAACACATCTGCATCTCCTAGCTGGGACCTGGCTGTCTCTTTTTCTACCCTAGAGCTTGCAACTCAGGGCAGGAGCTTCGCTAAACGAGTGCCAGTCACCTCCAACGTCCAGGAGCTCGCTGAGGGCCCCTGGCTGCCAACGCTCCTTACCATAGAAACTCGGAACCGGCTGAAGTCTGGCCGGCAACATCTGCCTCCTGCCCGCCTTGCTCCAGCTGTGAAAGAGCAAGCCCGGGGGGAGAGGACGGCCCAGTGCTGTTACCTGCGGGTCTGGATGCCGGCTGACGATGATGGGGACTGGCCCGGGACTGCAGTGACTCAGGACGGCGTAGACATCGTTGAGCGTCATGCAGTGCACGGGGGAGTCGTTGACCTCCACGAGCTCGTCGCCGCACCTGCACGAGCGGCACCAGGACGCCGTCAGCTGCTCGGCAAGTGGCATCTGGGCCACTGCTTCCCTGGGGGCTACTTCCGGCTGGGCATTCCCCTGCCCAGAACTCAGTGGAGGACAGGCCAAAGCAGCCCCTCCCTCGCTACTGTCGGTAGGTCAGGGATCCATTCCAGGATGGGAGGACGGACCTACCGGAGCCGGCCGTCCAGGTGCGCCACGGATCCCGGCGACAGCGTGTGAACGAAGATGCCCGAGATGCACTGGAAGTAGGGCACGCTGCACAGGCCGATCCCCAGGCCAACGCCAGCCTCTGGGGGTGGGGGGGACAGGGGACTCAGCCTTCCCGGCTGCAGCCTTGTCTCTCGGTGCCACCAACAAGGTCACGGGCCAGGCAAGGTCCCCCATTTCTTATGGCTTTCATTCCACCCATACTGACGGGGTGTCCCCTGTGTGCAGGGACACTCAGTGTCCAGGGAAGACAAGGGGTGGCAAGTACTCCCCGGGTGCTAGAAAGCGTGATGGCCTCTTCGGGCCTCGATGCTCAGGCTGCGGTGTGGACAGGAGGAACAGGAGCGAGGATGAGGAGGCGGGTGGGCACTCCCAGGAGAGACAAGAGCCCACGGGGCAGGCAGAACTGCTACGCTGAGGGCCAGAAAGGCCCGAGCGGCGGAGACATGGCGAGTGCTGGGAGCTGACCACCAGAGGGCTCGAGGCCAGACTGAACGGGGCTGGGGAAACGCGGGGTACTGGGAAGGGGTTACTCTATCCTGGGAAGGGAGGGGACGCCGCAGGAGTTTTGAACAAAGACGTGACACGATTTAATGTCCACTTCTACAAATATGTCTGGCTGCTGGGAGGAGGAAGAACTGTGGGCAGTTAACAATAAACACAGCAGGCTGGCGGGGGGTGGTGGTTAAGTATGGGACTCCCACACTGCCGACCGCTGTTCAAACCCAAGTCCTGGTGGGTTGCTTTCTATCTTTCCATCTCTGGCCAAATTAAAAAATAATTATATTAAATAAAATTTTAAAAATTCTTTAAAAAAAAATAAGGTCAACTGGTGACATGGTGGTTGAAGTACTAGATCCCACACAGCTGACTGCATGGTTCAAGTCCTGAACCCACAGCTTAAAAACAAAACAGGTGCATGTGTGTGCACGCATGTTCTCAAAATCCCAAAAGGAAGGCGAGATGGAGGAGAAGGGATGATAGTGTGACATCCCCATAGGCGTGCCTCCTCACTCTTCTCTGTCTCTTTAGTGAGTGCACACACTCTCTGGCTCTCCCCTCAAAAAATGAAAAGAGAAAATCACTGAAGAGACTATTTTTAGGGGCCAGCAGGTGGCACGATGGTTAAGGAGCTGGACTCCCATACGGCCGACCACGGTTCAAGTCCCGGACCTGGCAGCTTGCTTTCTCATGTTCTCTCTTTCTCTGTCTCTCAGTTAAGTGCACATACACGATAGCAGATTTTTAAAAATAACATTAATAAATTAATAAATGATTCTTAAAGAGAGAAAAAGGGAGAGAGGCTCTTCTTGAGCAAGACAGCAGAGGCTTGGATTTCACCTCTGGTGAAGATGGAGAGGAGTGGGTGTGAGTGAAATGCATGTTGCAGAGACCTACGGGCCGGTGAGATGCAGAGGCTGAGGCCAACTCCCAAGCCCAGGCGAGCCGCCACTCCAGACCCCGCGGTCTGCGGACAGGCGGCACCTGCCCTGACCCTGGCCTGAGTGCGTCTGAGGAAAGCCTGGGGAGTCGGCGGTAGGGGACCAGGGTGGCTGGGGCAGGGTGGGGGCCTTCCAGCAGCCGAGACTCCTACCTTTCTGCAGAGAAACCTCCACCATGACTCTGTAGTTGGGCTTGGTGGTGCTGGAGGGGGCCACCGGGCTCTCCGAGAAGGAGCTGCTGTCCTTGGTGACACACGAGCTGGAGCTCAGAGAGCGGCAGAGCGGCGGGGACAGCTGGCTGCAGAGCGCGGGGGGCGCCGTCAGGCGTGTGCGCACGGTGAGCGTGAGGAGCCCCTTCTTGGCTTGCTGAGAGGAGGGAGAGGGCGCTCAGGGCAGGGGGAACACAGCAGCGCGTGTGTGTGATACAATGTCTATATATTCACGTGTGTGACATATTATGTGTATGACAGATCACACACACACACACACACACACACACACTCCGCACATGTGCGTGTGACTGACAGAGACATAGACACAAAGCCCTGAATGGAACCGACCACGTGGAGACTCGAAAATCCCTTTTGGTGGTTGTCTTATAAACTTAAGACACAGGGCCAGCAGGTGGCTCAGTGGTTAAGGCGTTGGACTCCCACGTGGCCGACTGCAGTTCAAGTCCCACACCTGGAGGCCTGATACTCACACCAGGATCATGTGTATGTACCCCAAATCCTGAGAGAACGGAGGAGAAGGGACTGTGGCATGGCCATCCCCCTTGGGGGTGATTTCTCTCTTTCTCTCTCCCTCTGTCTCTCCAGTGAGTGTACATACCTTATAGCAAAAATCTTTCTCTAAAAAAAAGAAAGAAAACTAAAAACAGGGGCCAGCCTTGTAGCCTTGGGGTTAAAAGAGCCCCCTTCCATGCAGCCCACTGGGTTTGAATCCCAGCCCTGGTGGCTTTGAAACCCCTGCCAGGTACGTGTGCCCCAAATCTCAACAGGATGAAGACACGGAGAAGAGACTGTGGCCACGCCCCGTGGAGAGGGTGCTTTCCCCTCCTCCCTCTCCCGCTCTCTCTGTCTGGCAAGCACATGTGCCCTCGTAACCCCACAGAACCCTGCCGTAGATGGTTACATACACCAGAATAAGTACACAGACCGGCTTGTTTCTAGTTTTGCTACGGGTGCTCCCCAGAGACGGACAGGCACCCGGGGAACCGTGAGAAACCCCCCGGTGTAGGACTACGCTGCGATCCCTTCTCCATTCTCCTCTTGGGACTTCTTGGGTGGGCATGCACGTGTACATACCTGGTGTGATTTGTCAAGCCACGGGGTCCAGGACTCAAATCACACAGCCAGCCATGTGGGTGTCAGCGCTTCAACCTCCACCCCACCTGCTGACCCCACACAGATTGTTGTAAGACAGTTCTATAATTTTTTTTTTGTTTTCTTTTTTTAGTTTGCTATAGGGCACATGTGCTCACTGGAAAGAGACAGAGCAAGAAGGAAAGTGAGACGTCACCCCCCAGGGGGATGGCCACGCCACAATCCCTTCTCCTCCATTCTCCTGCCAGGATTATAGACATGCACGCACATGTGCCTGGTGTATTTCCAAACCTTCAGGTCCAGGATTCAAACCACAGAGTCGGCCACATGGGATCCAGCTGCCTTCTCCTCCGTGCCACCTGCTGGCCCAGTTTGAAGAGTCTTAAGCAGCTTTAATCTTCCTCTACAACCACCCCAATGGCATTATCATGTTATGAGCATGGCGTCCAGCGGATGCTATGCTAGGATCAGTCTCTGCTAGGTGCCCGCGTAAAGGAGCCCACGTTTCTCATGTGGAGGCCGGGATGTAGGCGGCGATCGCGCCGGGCTTCTCTGCCTCGAGGGCCCCTGAATCTGGTGACACACTGATTAGGGACAGTACCTTGAACCTGTACAAAGCGTCCTGGTGCGTCAGTCCAGCCATCGACTCACCATTGAGTTCCAGAATTTCATCACCTGTTTAGGCAGGAAGAGAAGGTAACCAAGGGGCATTGCCCTGGCCTTGAACTCTCACCTTCTCAGCTTCCCACTCCATGCCCAAAGTGCCGGGGCGGATGTTTCTCGGTCGAGGTCACACGGGTGGCCTTTCCTGGCACTGTGTACACTCCAGGCCTGGCCCCTGCCCACCCACTGCTCCCAGGGTCCTCTTTCGGCAAGCTCCAGAATATTCTATGCAGCTAAATGCTTGTTCTGTGTAATTTCATGAACCAAAAGTACTCCTCCTGCCTCCTTGGGCTACCCCCTTCTTATTATTTGTTTAAAGATAACTTTTGCTATGGGATGCATGCCCTTGCCAGAGACAGAGAGAAAGTGAGAAATCATCCCCCCAGTGGGGAGGAGCACACCACAATCCCTTTCCCTCTGTTTTCCTGTTGGGATTTTGGGCATGCACGCACACACACCTGGCATGAGTTTCAAGCTACCGGGTCTGGGACTTGAACCATGGTTGGCCATGTGGGAGTCCAGCACCTCAACCACTATGCTACTCACCAGCCCCAGCTACCTCTTAATCTTTTGGCACCTGCTATCTTTATCACCCTGTTCCTACCTTTGTCACGATGTGTGTCACCTGCAGGTCACTCCACCACCACACTGACAGTTCTTGGGGACAGACATGTGTGCTATGTCCCCAGGGCCTATGCTGTTGAGGTCTACCAAGTGCTTGATGGATGTGGGTGGATGTGCATTTCCAGAACACAGTGGAGACCCAGCTCGGAAAGGTCCCAAGTCTCATAATGAAGAGAATTAGAACTCTGATCTTTCGACCCAAGTCCTTGCTTCAAAACCCAAGGAGTTACCCCAGGAAGAGCATAGCTTTGCTTTCTCCCTTGCCTTAGATGTATCCAGTTCACAAACCAGGAGCAAGTTCCACACCTTCAGCCCTGTCCTGGACAAATCATGCAAACACTATTTTTACGCAGACTTCTTGGCCTGAGTGTGACTAATGAATTCGCTGTCAATGAACTGTAAGTCTGTTGTTGTCAATAACAAATCCTCTTCCTCTGGTTAAGAGTTTTTCTTGCTTTGCTTTTGCTTGCAAGCATAGTTCACAGTATCACTCTTATGTCCTGGGACATGGAAAGATGCTCTTCACACCTCCTCAGGCTGAGGTTTCAGGCCTTAGATCAGTTCTGGAAAATTCCAGGCCATTATCTGTCTGCACACTTTCTTCCTCTCTATTTCGCTCCTTTTAAAATCCCTATTTGGACAGTGTATTTCAGACCACTGCTCCTAGTAGCGGCTAATCTGCTGTTTAACACCTGTTTTTTATTTCAATTACTTTTTTTTTATGATTTTTAATTTTACTAATTCATTCTTTTTCATTTTTAATTTTGACCAGAGGGAGTTGCAGAGGGGGAGAGAGAAAGTGAGAAAGCAAACCACCAGGTCTGGGACTCGAACTGTGGTCAGCCATGTGGGAGTGTCCAGGGCCTTAATCACCACGTCACCTGCTGGTCCCACTTTTTTTTCTTTTCTTTTCTTTTCTTTTTTTTTTAAGATTTATGGGATTTTTTTTTGTCATTCATCTAATGTTTGATTGCATTCTATTTTTTCCTTTTCTTTTCCCTTTTAAAAAATAATTGTATTGATTTTATGATTATTATTTCTTTTATTTTGCATATGTGCTCACAGGAAACAGAGAAGGAAAGTGAGAAAGCTTCCCTGGGGGATATAGCCACATTGCAATCCCTTCTTCCTTCTCCTCCAGGATTTTGGGCATACACACACACATATACCTGGCATGTTTTTCAAGCTACCGGGTCCAGGACTTGACCCACACAGTCGGCCATGTGGGATCTAGTCACCTGAACCTCGACGCCACCTGCTGGCCCCACCTAAAAATCGTTTTAAACATAGTAACTCTAGTTTCTTTTAGATTGCCTTACGTTTCCGAGGGCTAATCCTCCTCTTCCTTCCTTCCCTTTTCCTTAACAGCAGACATTTCCAGGTGTGAGATCTTCACTATGAACTCCTCGGGGTACTCTGGTTTTCTAAGGGATTCCCGTCCCCCCCAGGTCACTACCAGGCCCTTTTCCCTTTATTTCTACTTTGAACCCCAAAGGTTACACTGGGTTGGGACGAGTTTTAATAACTCCTTAGCCTGAGGATTCATTTACACTCCAGGGATGAGAAGTGCCGCCTGCACACCCGTATGTAACAGAGGCTTCGTTAGTCGTTTTCATAGGAGAGAGGTTTTCCCCACTCGAGCTAGGCAAAGTTCAGCTTCCTTATCGCCTCCCGGCCCCTGCTGGACTTTAACGAGGCGCTGCTCTTTCAGCACCAAGGCTGCATACAGGATCTCAGCGCCTCACGGGGACCCAAGGCCCTGTCCCCCGTCCCTGTGTGAGTGTTCAAATCCTAGCCCCTGGCCCGTAGGGTCTATAAGCAATCCAGCAGCCTTCGGGGCTACATCATCAATCCCGGAGTTTGCTGTGCTTAGATTTATAGCTGTTTCTTTGTTTTCTGGCAGCTGGACTTTCTGGTTGTTTTTTTTTTTTTTTTTCCCCTTTCCTTTTTTGAGTCTAGATTATTTTTTTAATCTAACATGTCAATGTATTGGAAAATGAGGAAAGAGGTAGATTGGAAGAATATTCGAGTCAGCTCAACCTGCTAGGTTGCTGGACTAAGAGAAAAATGAAAGGACCCAGCCCTGGTTTTTATGAGATTCCAAGTCTAGGAGTAAAAATAAACACATTTCAAAATAATCAAGAAGTAACTAGGTGAGTGCTAAACGACAGACCAAGATAATACTTCCGCACGGCCAATGACTGACCTTCTCCTCACCCAAACTTGACTTCCTTGACTTCCCTGGTTTGGCCAAATGCATCCTATATGGTCTTTTTTTTTTTTTTTGGAAGAGGACATAAAATAAAAGAGTAGTGTTGATCCATACACCAAACTTCTGTTGCTAACATACTCCCCATGAACTCAAGAGTCGATTCTAAAACTTAACTTTTGGAAAAAACATACCAAAGGTGGTTTGACTGGCCAGTTCATTGAGGCCTGAATCAGGTATTGTATACTAGGTTGAATGTCCTGGGTCACTGAAGTCTCTATTTTTATCATCACTTTTAAACAAGGGAAACACACACACACACACACACACACACACCAAAAAAAAAGTAACCAAGTGTGGTTCGGACAGGCTTGCATTCAGGAAAAACAAAACACAATACTCTCTTTTCTTGCCCTTTCAAACCACCCTCCTACACAAAATTAGAGAAGGTAATGAAACAATGGTACTCTCTCTGGGTTCTGAAGATCCCATGGCTCTTCCTTCTTCTCTGCGGCTCTTTTATCTGCCCCCAGATCCAAGCCTGCCTTAGCCCTCTTCTCTCTTCCTGTCTTTTGCATTCATCCTAAAACTTCAGCTATTTTCCGAAGGTTGGACAAAAGGCTCGACCTTGTCCCCATAACGCCCAGCCTGAGCTGGTGCGGCTGTCGGGCAGCGCCACCTAGTGGTCTCCTGTATGCGGGTCTCCACTCTGCAGCCCAAACCTACACACTTCTTTTGCTTCCTCTTCCTTCCCCCCCCCTTGCCGCATCCTCCTTGTATTAGAAGGCATTTTCTTTCTCTAATTAAAAGCAGAAATCCTCATGTATTCTCTGACCACCTCCACTCAAGCTCTGTCCCTTCTCTGCTGCGCTTTCTCCTCCCGAGTTACAACGTCAGGGCAGGGTCGAGGGGTCTGGAGTCTCACTCTCCTATAGCCTATTCGCTGTTAGCGTCTGGTCCCTGACCAGCTAGCTTCCTTCAATCTGTGCTCTGTTTCCTGAATCATCTAAAAACCCTGCTCATGGCGGTCCCTCCCTGACCATAAAAACCTTCAAAGGCTCTGCTCTGCCCATACATAAAATCCATGTGCGTAATCCTGTGTAACGTGGGGCTGGCAAACCTTTCCTGCAGAGAGCCGGATCGTAAATATCGGAAGCTCTGCACCTACTCAGCGCTGTCGCAGCACACAAGTAGCCACAGGTTACAGGTAAAAGGATGCGTATGGCTGCTGCCCAGGAAAGCTGTTTTCAGGAACACTGAAGTTTGTGTTTAATTTTCACATGTCATGACAGCACGGAAAATTCTTTTGACTTGTGTTATAAGTTTTTTTTCCCCCCATAGGGCACATGCACTCACCAGAGAGAGGGAAAGCTAGAATCACCCCCCCCCAGGGGACCAGCAGATGGCGTAATGGTTATGTCGCTGGACTCTCACATAACCGGCCATGGTTCGAGTCCTGGACCCAGTGACCTCAAACTCACACCAAGGGGGGACCAGCGGATGGCATAATGGCTATGTCACTAGACTCCCTCATAGTTGACTGTGGTTGGAGTCCCGGACCTGGCAGCTTAAAACTCACCAGGCACATGTGCGTGCATACCCAAAATCCTGAGAGGAGAATGGAGCAGAAGGGATTACAACATGGCCATCCTCGCTTTTTGTCTCTGTCTGTCTGGCAAGTGCATGTGCCCTATAGCAAAAATCTCTCTTTAAAGAACAAATAAGTAAATAACACTCATGCCGGATGCACGTGCATGCATGCCCAAGATCCCACGTACAGAGTGGAGGAAAAGGGATTGTGGCGTGGTCATCCCTCTGGAGGGTGATTTCTCGCTTTCTGTCTCTCAGGCAAGTGCATGTGCCCTATAGCAAAAACTTCTTTTAAAAATAATAAATAAAATAAGGGGATGGAGCCAGCAGGCAGCAGGGTGGTTAAGGTGCCGGACTCCCACCAGAAGCATGCTGGCTGTGTGCGCATGCCCGAAATCCCAAGGAGAACGGAAGAGAAGGGACTGTGGCATGGCCATTCCCCCTAGGGGACTGATTTCTGGTTTTCTGTCTCTCTGGTGGGTACACACAAAACTCTCTTTAAAAAAAAAAAAAGAGGGGGACCAGCAATTAGCGTAATGGCTATGTTACTGGACTCCCACGTAGTCGACCGCGGTTTGTGTTCCGGACATGGTGCCTTAAAACTCATGCCGTGTGTGTGCGTGCCCAAGATCCTGAGAGGAGAATGGAGGAGAAGGGATTGCAGCGTGGCCATCCCCCCGGGGGGTGATTTCTTGCTTTCTGTCTCTGTCTCTCTGTCTGTCTGGCAAGCGCACGCACCCTATAGTGAAAAAAACTCTCAAAAAAAGAAAAAAAAAAGGCAAAAAGAAAAAGGACCGTGTCTGATTCTTCTCTGCATTCCTAGAGCCTCGAGCTTGTCAGCGCTAGACAATATCTGCACGATGCTGAAGCACTGGGCCTATTCTGACTGTAGGCGTGAAAATTCCAGAACCAAAATACAGTCCCTCGTGTCTAACCCTGACGGTACGGAGCTGGGAGCGTCCTCGTGCACACGGCTCCGTACAGGAACGAGCTCAGGGACTCTGCCGTGACCATGACTTGCACAGAGCACTGCAGTCTTACACAACACACTTCTGCAGGGACAGGGGTGGCCGGCGACTCCCCGTCCAACCCGTGCCACGCTTGCTGTGGACCCTCGTAGCCAAGGGTGATTGTCTGGAGACAACTGAAGCAGTTCCCCCACACCCGTCTTTGGGACGCCCTGGCCCTCCCTTCCCTTCCTGAACACCCCCAGACGTATTCTGTGTTGCAGTTCATGTTCCCAAAGAAAAACAGTGCAAGAATATGGAAGATTAACTGCTGAGCGAGGCAAGCCGAGGGGAGGGGAGGGGAGGGGAGGGGAAGGAAGCGCAGCAATCTTCAGTTCCAGGCAGGACACAGGACCCTGTTGAGAGGTGACCGTGTCAGGCACCGAGCGTGCAAAGGTGCACAGCCAACGTGCCAGTCAGGGGAGCCACAGCGCCCTGCGGCCTGCAGACTCCAGGATCCTGCAAGCCCTGTGCCGAAAGCTCCAGACACGGGACTGGCAGATGACATAATGTGTACGTTGCTGGAGTCCCACATGGCTGACCGCAGTTCGAGTCCCAGACCCAGTAGCTTGAAACTCATGCCGGGTTCATTTGTGTGCGTGGCCAAAATCCCGAGAGGAGAATGGAGGAGAAGGGGTTGCAGCATGGGGGGGATAGGGTGATTTCTCGTTTTCTGTCTCTGTCCCTTTCTCTCTCTGTCCAGCCAGTGGACACGCCCTATAGCAAAAGTTTCTCTTGAACAACAACAACAACAAAGCTCCAGACACATCTTGTCCCAAGATCTACAGACCAGTGATTTTGGACTCTGCTACCGACCCTACAGCGCCGCTGAGAAGAGAAGGGAAATCTACCTTCTTGCAGCCTTCCGTCGGCAGCCGCGGTATATCCACTTGCTAAGTAAAGGCAGAAGTCGTGTCTCCTTGACCTTTCCTATTTACTGACCCAGGAGGGCTCTTCCCGAGCCCAGTCGACAGCTCATTTCTGAAGTGCTCAAGGGGACATGCTACTGTAGCGCCAGATGGCTGCTGGAAATGAGAGAGGAGACCGACATTTGTACTCTTGGCTCTTGGTGCGGAATCACTCTGTTCATCAAATCTGTCTACACTTGACCTTTCAGTGAAAAGCATGCTGCTGTATTAACAAGCCTCCTGGAGAAGAAGGGATAAAGCCCGTGTCAGTGCCCCAGCCCCACACCGGGGTGCTCCGTGCACACGCCTCAGGATGCCACATTTGGAGGCAGGTCTTCCTCAAACTTCATGTGCAAGCTGAACTAGAGGTGGGATCCTCATATCAGAGAAGTGTTTCAAAGCACAGTATTTAGCTCCCTGCCACTTCTTAACAATCTTAATTATTCTGCTCCCCAGAGGGTCACCTGGAGTTGGTAATTTTAGAAAATAAAGTGAAAAAGATGAGCTATTTACTTTCCAAACAACCCTTCTCAGACTAGCCAATTAAATCTTCACTGGCCCTCAGGCGTGTAACATCACCTTCAATATATTATGTTATATTGCGCACATTTAAAATTTGCTCTACTGGCTATTTTGAAAGTATATATTAAATTGTCAATGATATTCTTTGCTGTGAAATACAGTTCCAAAGAAAAACAAAATAATTAACCATCAGCTAAAAATGTCTCAAAAATTAATGAGGTTGGATTTTGGAAAACAACCTTAGCATAGCCAATGAAAAAAAGAACTTGTGATTTCCATGTAGAGCATTGTGGGGAATGAGTGTGTGTAATCTGAAAAGATCTGTGGTATCCATCATTGGTCCAGTCAGAGAGACGTAAAATTGTACGGAACAGTAGCTCATTAGGAAGAGAGAGAAAAGAAAACTTTTTTTCATATACTGTGAGTTCTTATAAGACCACAGTAGTGTACCATTCACAAAGCAGAAGTTCTGAAAAAAGGAAAATCACAGGCCAGCAGGTAGCATAGTGGTTAAGGCACTGGACTCCCATATGGCCAATTATGATTCAAGTCCTGGACCTGGTGGCTTCCTTTCTTGCTTTCTCTCTCTTGCTTTCTCTGTCTCTCTCTGGTCAAATTGAAATAAAAAATGAGTGAATAAATAAAAATTAAATAAAATAATTATTTTTAAAAAATAATATGTCGGAGCAATAGATGGCATAATGGACTCCCACATAGTCAGCTGCAGTTCAAATCCCAGACCCAGTGGCTTAAAACTTACACTGGGTGCATGTGTATGTGTGCCCAAAATCCCAGAAGGATAATGGTGTAGAAGGAATTGCAGCATGACCCTAGGGAGTGAATTCTCACTTTCTGTCTCTCTGTCTCTCCAGTGACCACATGCATCCTATAGCAAAAAATCTCTCTCAAAAAAAAAAAAAAGGATAATTTATAACAACTAAATTTCCAACAGATCTATGATAAAGCAAACACTAGCAGATTTTTAAGATACCATGGAAAAACAAATACTTGTCACAAATCCAGGGCACTCTTTCTCTAGTATTAGAAACAAGGTACTCAGGGACTGGCAGATGACATAATGTGTACGTTGCTGGAGTCCCACATGGCTGACCGCAGTTCGAGTCCCAGACCCAGTAGCTTGAAACTCATGCCGGGTTCATTTGTGTGCGTGGCCAAAATCCCGAGAGGAGAATGGAGGAGAAGGGGTTGCAGCATGGGGGGGATAGGGTGATTTCTCGTTTTCTGTCTCTGTCCCTTTCTCTCTCTGTCCAGCCAGTGGACACGCCCTATAGCAAAAGTTTCTCTTGAACAACAACAACAACAAAGCTCCAGACACATCTTGTCCCAAGATCTACAGACCAGTGATTTTGGACTCTGCTACCGACCCTACAGCGCCGCTGAGAAGAGAAGGGAAATCTACCTTCTTGCAGCCTTCCGTCGGCAGCCGCGGCTCCCCCAGCGAAGATGGTTTTGACGTAGATTCCAATGGGACCGTAGATGCTGTCCTTCCCCCCCACGATGCTGAAGCCCAAGCCCTGGGGAAAGAGGAGGCTATGAGCCAGGCTGGCCCTTGCTGAGGGCAAGCTCAGCAAGGCACCTTTCCGGCCTCTGGCCTTGCAAAGGAGAGAGAAGAACTCTAACTGAGGGCCGGGGGGGCACTTCGGCTCACATCTGGACGCTTCCCGAGGTGTGCCAGGAGTGAGCGCGCCCGTGACCCTGGCCCCGCTGAGGTTCAGGGTGGATCGTGGTGTAGAGACCCTCTCGGGGTGCTGTCTCTCTGTCTCTGGCTCTCTTGCTCACAGAAGAAACAAAAAATGATGTTATAACCTAACCCACAGAATTGTGTCTAAAACATACCTCGCAGGGCCAGCAGGTGGCATGGTGGTTAAGGTGCTGGACTCCCACATGGCTGACCGGGGTTTGAGTTCTGAACCTGGTGGGCTTGCTTTCTCACTGTCTCTCTTTTTTTTTCTCTCTCTGGTCAAATTAAAAAATATTAAATGATAATAAAATCAAGTAATTCTTTAAAAATCATAATAAATAAAATTAAGTAATTCTTAAATACACACACACACACCTAGCAACAACAGCCAAAACCTCAACTGTGATAACAGCAGCTTGTGATGAAAGCCGCACTCGGGCTCCTACCAAAGGTCCCTCGCTCCCTTCTGTTCTGCAGTCTGACCCCCCTCCCATGACCCGCCTGCACCTGCACCGTCTCCCTCCCCACCATTGTTGTAGGTCACCCCCCCCCCAGTCGACAAGCAGGTCTAGGATTGTGCGGTGGCCCTGGGAGGAGAGCTCAGGACCCAGCAGGTAGTCCCCCTGTGGGAGCAGCCTGGAAGCAGCAGGGAAGGCGGAGGGGAGGGCCGAGTGAGGTCTATGGGGGGTGCGGCTTCCCCTGCACACCTGCAACCTGCCGGGGGCATTAACGGGAGGACCTGGGCAGCCCGCCACATAGCAAAACAAGTTTGCACAACTTGCAGCATTTTCCCGAAAAACCAGAAAACTCGAACTCCCTACAGCCTTCTCCTGGGCTCAGCGGACGCTCTTCTAGCCTGGGAGCCGCCTGAAGGCAGTGAGTACCCTTCCTATCTGTGGGCATCCGGCCTCCACGGGTGCCCTGGGCTCTGGGAAGGCAGCAGTACCAGTGGGAAGCCAGGGGTTTGAGTCCAGCATGCCAGGTGGTGGCCAGTAACCCTGGGCCGGCCGCCTACAAAACAGGGCCGTTAGCCGTGGGCAGTGCTGTGGTTTGGGTCCTCTCCCCACGATTTGTGTATTGAGATTTGGCTACAAAAGTATCAAAAAGTGAATCCTGGGACCAGCAGATGGTGTAATGGTTATGTCGCTGGGCTCCCACGTAGTAGACCACAGTTTCAGTCCTGGACCCGGCAGCTTAAATCTTACACTGGGCGCTTGTGCGTGCGTGCCCAAAATCCGAAGAGGAGACTAGAGGAGAAGGGATTGTGGGGTGGCTGTCCCCCCCGGTAGCTGATTTCTCACTTTCTGTCTCTCTGTCTCTTCAGTGAGCACATGCTCCCTATAGCAAAGATCTCTCTCTAAAATTTTTATTTAAAAAAAAAAAAGGTGGGGGGTCTTTGAGAGGAATTAAATGATTGGGGTGGAGTCTCTATGACTGACTCCTGGTAGGCTTTTTTCTTTTCCTTTTTTTTGGGGGGTGGGGGGAGAAGTTTTTGCTATAGAGCATGTGCGTTCACCAGAAAGACAGAGAGAGACAAAAAGCGAGAAATCACCCCCCGGGGGGATGGCCACATCGCAATCCTTTCTCCTCCATGCTCCTCTAGGGATCTTGGGCACGCATGCACACGCTACCAGCATGAATTTAAGCCCCTGGGTCCGGGACTTGAACCATAGTCGACTACATGGGAGTCCAGCGACGTAGCCATAATGCCAACTGCTGGTCCCTCTGGTAGGCTTTTAAGGAGAAGGAAGGACACCAGCAGGGACATGCAGATGGATGGACACAGATGCTTGCTTCTGTTCCCACTATGACACCCTGCACAGTGCTAAGGCCCTAACAACAGAAAAGCCGTTGCCCAGTATGGCCTCTGGGCCTGGGACCTCCAAACCGTGAGCTAAATAAACCTCCATTCTCCTCAAGTCCCCAGGTCGGGTATTTTCTGTTACTAGCAACAGAACGGACAAGCGCACAGTTATCTCAGGTCAGCAGCTGCTCATGGCTGCCTGGCGTGTAACCCCTGTGCACAGACACAGAAGGTGTGTCAGCCCTCGTTACAACACTGCAGGGAACCGGTGAGCATGCACCAGGCTAGAAAACCCCGTGAACAGGGTGCTGCTCACAGCTTCTGTGAAGGCGGGGTGTGTTCCAGGACAGGCGAGACAAATGGTGACCAAGAGTAGCACAACCTCAGGGAACATGTGAAGGAGGAGCCGTGTCAGGGCTCCCCTGTAGGCCCTTAGACTCACCCTGGCTGAAACAGCTGCTCTAGACACAAGCGCTCACCCACCCTGGTGAGGCAGGACAGCGTGACGGCCAAGAGCAAGGCCCCGGAGTCAGGCAGCCTGGGGTCATCGTGGTTCAGCCGCTCACTGACCAAGTGACCCTGGGCAAGTGTAATGTCCCAGGCCCTCGGTCCCCACCTCTAGCGAAGGGAGACAGAGAAGGACTGCTGGGAGGATTACCAGCTTGGTCTGCGAAGCTCTCGGCACAACGCCGGAGTCCTGCTGGCTGGTTGGACGGTTCGATGTGACTTTACCTCAAGCACTGGCTGATCCTTCTAGATCCGGTTCCTCCTCCTCCTCCTCCTCCTCCTCCTCCTCCTCGTCCTCCTGACCCCAACCCCGGCCTCAGTCCTGCTGGCCTTCCCCATGCATGACGAGGCCTTGGTGAGGTTGCATCGGCTGAACGGAGGCCGGCCGGCCTCCTCACTGTGTGCTCCTCGCCCCTGCGGTGTGTACGCCAGAATTCCTACACGCCACCATCCCTCTCATTCCACCGCCAGGCCCCACGGAGACGAGTGACATTTCAGACACACCAACAGCATCTGCGCCATTTTGGGTCCCGTTTGTGTAAGTTCTGGTGTTCTTGACTATTCTGCCTTCTTTGGTACATTACAAAAAACGTAAAGGTCATTTATTACAGTATCTGAAAAAGGTACTCTGATTTACTAGTCAGAAAAATGGGCTGGGGCCAGCAGGTGGCGTGGTAGTTAAGGTGCTGGACTCCCACACGGCTGACTGCGGTTCGAGTCCCTGACCCATGCCAGGCGTGTGTGTGTGTGTGTGTGTGCATACCCAAAATCCTGAGAGGAGACAAGGAGAAAAGATTGTGGTGTGGCCAATTCCCTTTGGGGCTGATTTCTCACTTTTCCCTCTCTCCGTATCTCTTGAGCACACATGCCCTATGGCAAAAACCTTAAAAAGGAAAAAAAAGAAAAGAAGCTAGAAATGAATTAGGGACCAAGCTCCAAAAGTGCTGAAGGTCACAGTGTCCTCTGTAAGAAAACCATCATTTTGCTGATTGGAAAAGTGTGCGTTGCTTGAAATTCACTTAGTTCTGATATTTTAAAAGAATTATTTCATTTTATTTAATAGTGTTATCATTAATTTAACCAGGAAGAGAAAGAGAGAAAGCAAGCCAACAGGTCCGGGACTCGAACCACAGTCGGCCACATAGGAGTCCAGTGCCTTAACCACCACACCACCTGCCAGCCCCTCGTTCTTGAGTTTTAACAGTCTAAACTCTGTGTTTACCACCTCTGGCATGCCGTGACGCCAGTCACGTCCTTCTCGCGGGAACGGGTGTCGCCCAGGAGTCCCGATGCCGGCGGTCCTTACCTTGGCCTGGCCCTTCATCAGCACGATGTTGGAGATGACCGAAGCCTGCAGGCCCCCAGACGGCTGCACCAGCTGAGCCGTGCTCAGCGACCGTGTAGGTCTCGAAGTGCCCTGCAGAGAGGGGCCGGGGGACAGAGCATGAGCCACATGGGACAGCAGCACCGCCTCCCGGGGAGCAGGAAGCCCAGCCACAGAGAGGGACGCCCTCTGCCCTGAGGACCCACAGCTGCAGGACTGCAGGTGGTTAACGGGGTGTGGGTGGGAGGGGCCCGCTCTCCCCGCAGGGCCGCAGCAAAGGCTCTCTCGGGCTTCAGGGAGGGATGTGCAGATGTCATAGCCCACGCTGTGCCCAGGATGGGTCCTCATAACCAAGGCCTCAGGCAGAGGTGAAGGTCACTGCCGCGAACGCCCACGCAGATGGCGTCCTGCTCAAGAGAGATTCACTGACATCTTCCTGGGCTGCGCGGGGTGCCGGGCCAGGGGGCAGGAATCCAAAGATGGAAACTCCAACCTAGGACTGGCCTGTGGCCTAGTTCTTAAGAAAGCCGGATCCTACCTGGCCAACTGTGGTTTGAATCCCAGCCCTGGTGGCTTGAAAAACATGTGGTGCATGAACACGTGTGGCCCAAATCCTGACAGGATGGAACTGGAGGGAAGTGACCGCCTGTGTATCGGTGTCGCTCCCAGTCTGTAAGCTGGTCCCCGTGGGAGGAAGGACACACACTGGGGAGCCACGTCAGGCTCAGTTCAGATTCCGGTCCTTGGTTTTAAAATGTATGCGTCGGACAGACATCGCCAAGCCGCAGTGTCCTCACTGCAAAAACGGGGCTAAGAGCACCTTTCTTTCTAGCTTGTTTCCTTCTTAATTTGATCATTATTATTACTATCTCTTGAGAGCTTAGGGCTATAGGGCACACGTGCTCACTGGACAGACAGATGGAGGGAAAGCGAGAAATCACCCCCTCTGGGGGGTGGCTACGCTGCAATCCCTTCTCCTCCATTCTCCTCTCAGGCTTTTGGGCACGCACACACACACGCCCAGGGTGAATTTCAAACCACCGGATCTAGGACTCAAACCACGGTCGGCCATGTGGGAGTCCAGCCCCTTAACCATGACGCCACCTGCTGGCCTCCTCTAGCGTGTTTTCAGAAGGGGAGTAGCACTGGGAAAGCAACCCACTGCCACAAGGGTTAGAAGCACAGGCTTTGGAGTCCAAATTCTGCTTTAGTGTTAGCAAAGTGAACACACATATTTTCTCAGCATGTCCAAGCCCCAGGTCCCTTGCCTACCTCCTGGAGCTTTAGGAAGAAGTAAAGGGATCCTCATCAAGCCTCTGGTCAGGGGCTGCCCCGCCTTCTCTACACATTAGCACCTGACAGTATTGAAGGGACAGCACCTGCAAGTGCCTGTCACAAGGGGGCGCTCTCTGAAGGGCCATTCCTCACCTAGAAATGGTCTCACTGCTGAACTGGCCTCTGCAGTTCTGGGGGTGCAATACCCTATCCACTATGAACCGTGGACCCCTCCCCTCCATGTTTTGTCCCCTTTATTCTTTTTTTTTCTTTTTAAAAATAATTATTTATTTAGTTTTATTCATTATTTTTAAAAATGTGCTACGGGGCACATGCATGCAAGAAAGACAGAATGAGAAGGCAAGCTGCCAGGTCTGGGACTTGCACCAAGGTCGACCCTGCGGGAGTCCAGCACCTTAACCACCACGCCACCTGCCGCCCTCCCCTTTCCCTTTATCCTTACCGCAGCCTTTCCCGCTGGGCAGTCCAGTTGTTGCGACAGGGACTTCCTGTTACTGCAGAGAGAATAGGGCTGCCTGTCGGACGCCGCTGACTTCCCGGCCATTGCAAAATCAATGTCTCCCGTGCAGTAGGGATTAACACCTGAGCCAGGAGAGAAAACACAGCAAGAAGTATCTGTGCTCCCAGAACGCAGAGCCCCACCAACTGCTGACGCTCGCTTAGCCAGGGGTCAGGGTCAACATAAACCCCTCGGCACCCCGAGTGGGGCGCATGGGTGGAGAGGGGGCGTGTGGAAGGCCTGAAGGCAACTCGTTCCCTCCGCCTGTGCTTTCTGGAGCCTGAGGGTGAAGACAGGGCTCTAGCTTGCATTTCACCTCAATGCAACTCAGCGAGAGCTGGCGGGGATCGCCTATGCCCTGCAATTTGGGGGAGGAGGTCTCAGGAAGCCACAGTGCTACACTGAATTCAGACCCTGTGGTCAGAAGTTTTCAACTCCAACCAAGATGAGAGAGCAGGACAGCTCAGAGGGCTCCCAGGAGGAGGAGGAACCAGAGGGCACCCAGGGAAGCCAGCAGGAACGGGGGATGGAGGAACCCTCCGCGCTCCCGGAAAGATGTGTTTGCGTGGCTCTTACACACACTCGCACACACTCCCTCACAAGGGGGAACATACACACCCCACACACTGACAGCTCTGGATTCTTTGGGGATCCAAGCAAATGCAAAGTGATGGCCCTCCATTCGGTGCGAATACCAGACTTCCTTTTCTCTTGGAGAGATTTCTGCTATAGGGCGCGTGCACTCGCCAGAGACACAGAAAGCCAGAAATCATCCCCCAGCGGCATGGCCACACCGCAATCCCTTCTCCATTCAATTCCTGGGATCTTGGGCATGCACACACACACACACACGCCTGGCGGGAGTTTGTAGCTACCTGGTCGACCATGGGGAGTCCAGCAACAGAACCACTACGCCATCCACTGGTCCCTCCCAGGCTTCCTTTCATCTGCCACACAGTGGGAACCCCTTCAGAGACTGTGACTTCATCCCCCCACCTAGAGCAGCACCTCCACGCTGAAATACCCACGGTGCTTGCCACGTCCGTACTTCACAATGCTCTAAAAGTCATTGAGAGTGGAGAAACAGCTGAGAGCCGCCTTAACCACTGTCAGTTTACGACCTACCCTCTTTCCCACACGTTCATGATATAGGAGTTACTCTCCAGCTACTTTATTACACTTTCCCTAGTGTCTAAGGAGCGCCCTCTAGAGGCCAGAGAGAGGCCCGTCTTCCTGGGTCCCTCAGCTCAAGTGAGGAGGACATCTGGGGAAAATTCCCTCCGAGCAAAGCAGGTGATTAGTTGTCATCGTTGAGAGAAGGGCAGACTGGGGCGGGTTTTGCAGAGAGGCAGCTGGGGGCCAGGACAGATGGGGAAAAGAACCGGTCTCCCTGGGATGCAAAGTCCCTGAAAGGGACAAGTGACAGGCGTGGTGGAGAAGGGAGAGGTCTTGGCCCATCAGCTGAGAGCGTGGCTGAGGACATGTCCCTGCCAGGATGGCCACTCCCAGCAGCGGCCTCAGCACAAGTAGGTGGTCCTCTCTGCTTACAGGAACCGATGGCTCCCAGATGGACCGGGAAGAGGACGCCAAGGGCGTGGAAACCACGCTCTGGAAAGAGGCCACTGAAACGTGAAACAGCTGCGTGCAGAGGCTGGGGACCACCTGGGCCCAAGCTGCCTGTGCGTCGTATTTACCTGGGGAGTTAGCTGAAAGGCAGATGACAGGGTCAGCAGATGACACAATGGTTCTATCACTGGTCAACCACAGTTCGAGTCCTGGACTCAGCAGCTTGAAACTCCTGCCAGGCACGTGTGCATGCGTGCCCAAGATCCCAAGGCGGGAATGGAGGAGAAGGGACTGCAGTGTGGCCATTCCCCCCTGGGGGTGGGGTGCTTTCTTGCTTTCTGTCTCTCCAGTGAGCTCATGTGCCCTATAGCAAAAGTCTCTCAAAAAAAAAAAACGGG